TTTTCTTACTTTTGCCCTTCCAATTCTCTCCCGCATCCCACTGGGCCAACAGGAGTTAAACCATGACAACTGTAAAAAGCCTCCAGTCATTAGTGGACAATATGAGAATTCACTACTTGGCACTGGAACTTTATTTGCAGAAACTGTTTGACTTGTTTATTGTGTATATTTGGTTTCCAGTGAACAAGCAGTACAGTGATTTGAGCGACTTACTGCTAGCATATCATGAAAGTAAAATTTGGTATTAACGTACATATTTGTTTCCTTGATATCTTATGCAACATTTCTCTCCGCAGTGAAATCATCCAACACTCGCTTTCTCCTAAAACTTAACAACAGAATAAAATCATGTTATTACTTTACTTAAATTATATTACATTGCCTAAATGTTACATGAGGCTACATAACAGTTTGCTGTATTTTGTAAAAAGATCTTTCCCACTGCAACATCTCACCAATTCTTGTAAATTACATATGGTGAAGTTTGTGCAATGCTTAAATAAAAGGTACACTAAGATAATGGAAGCACTATGCTTGGAATTTAGCCCCAGTCTTAAAAATCACTATATTCCTAAAAGCAAACTGTGTTGGATTATTAAAAATCCCATCGAATATTTCCCATGTTTTGCATAAATTTCTCCTCTTATCCCTATTCTATACTATTCTAGCAGCTGGTTTCAGATTTAGCATAAGTTATTAAAAATACAGGAAAGATATTTTACATACAGGTACATCTCATGAGTGAGTTTTGAAATTCAGGACTTAATATCTGCTACTAGTCCAGCACTATTCATTGCATCTACCAAATTTGGGCTTGAACTATTCTGGGATGATTTGGGTAGGAGCATTCACTTTTGTAAGGAAGTCCACCACACAGATTATTTGGCTAAGAAACAGCGAAAACATCCTTAACACTGTAGAAACCTAGAGTGAGAAGTCCTGGCTAAAATGCATAGAAGTTAAACGTACATAATTTGAACAAACTATATATGGCATACACTCACCTATATGTCCTATCTCAGGAAGACATAATGAACGTAAATTTGTAACAGAAAGGTTACCAACAAAACTCTATCAAAGTAACTTACATTTTGACATACAAATATTGAAGTAACAAGAATAGTCTTGGCCTATGTGATTGCTAGTCATACGTGAAGCTGTCTGCTCACACGGGTGAAGTGCAAGCCTTAGTTTTCACTTTTACTGTTTTTATATTTTCCTACTGCAGCTCTAGTACATCACATGTTCATTAGCAATGCATTGTTACATGTCTTTCCTATACCCTGTTGTGCTACCAGTCAACACGTCATAGCACATGGGTGCTATTGCAGGAAAGAGGAAACCATACACTGCACAACCCTTGAGTAAAAAAACACCATTAAACAGCCTGGGTGTGACTGTCTAGCTTAAATGAATCACCCATGTGCAGGCTTGAGCACAATCTTACGAATGCCCCATCCTGGTACTCAATGCAGGAGATGCATCCATAATCTGCATTTGGAGTGACAATTCATTAACACTTAAAATTTCACTAATAATACTGTTTTTATAGAATAAATGCAGAGAACTTGAAAGTGGTCAATGCTCATTACACCTTAACCTGTGAATAAAATGTCTCTGTGGCAAACTTTCTCATAATTGAAGTGCCACCTGTGATAAATGGGTCGAAGCTTTATTTTTTGGGGCACAAAAAGGATTAGTGGTTATATTAGACTTGAAAAAGACTAAAATACTTGCAAGTAAAATTTTGATAACAGCTGGCTGCATAATAAAATACGTTCTTTTAGTTTCCTCCAGTCTTCCTAATGTAATACATGGATGTTATGACTAGATTATTTTCCTAACTGTTTTTCAGAAATGTAAGTTTTAGTGGTCACTCAAAATGTTTAATATCTGTTTTTTCATGATGAGCTGTGGACAAACAGGACAAACCACAGCTTTACAGGCCAGTCTCCTTCATGCAAACTGAGTAGAACACTTTACACGTACGTGCAGCCAATTTCAGTCTTGATTCCCAAATAATTGATACTGCATGGGAAAGATATTTCCTCTCCCCTGAAAAGGTTCCATTTGCATCAACCACATTTTAAAATAAATTTATTTTTCCTTCACCAAGAGTTGTACTCAAATCTGAACACTTTGAAATAAGCAACTCCAAAAAAAAAAAAAAATATTCTGAGTTTTGTTTGAACCTCAACTTGTCTCCAAATTAAGAACTCACACTTGTATTCTTCAGTTTTGTGATATTTCATCCATAACAAGGTTTAATAGACATTTTCAAACCTGAAGATTTACATTTTAAGATCTGTATTTGGGACCAGATTCAGGCCTGCCCATGAGTACTGATCACAAAGAGAAAACTACTACTCTGAATATTTTATATCCATTTTTGGTGTTTTGTATTTCATATGAAGAAAACTTTAATCACTTCAAAATTATAACACATTTTTCAGTTTCTATACAAGTGTCTCACTGCCAGTTACTGAACCACTGGAGATGAAAAGTTGTTAGCAGACAGCAGAAGGAAATTACAGTGTTTGGCAGTTTGTTCATCTACAACTTTTGTCTTTTTACTTTCAGGAAACACTTCCTGTTACTCTGCATTTGCTGGTTATTCGGTCTGGACCACTCTTCTGATGCTAAAGTATTTACAGAACTTCCCCAAATGAAACAGTCCCTTGGATATGACTGGCCTTGTATTTGCATGAACTGAAGTAATAACTACGCATCACTAACTTCTCTCACTGAAACCCACTGGATGCTGTACTTTTGCCTTGTCAGAAGTGGTTACATTTTGCTTAACTGTTTGGGAAGATTAGTTTCATTTGCAACATTAAAAAGATGGCTGAAGAAGAAAAACTCTCTCTAAAGAAAGCAATTCAGTTTGGTATTAATGGATATATTCCATCAGTAAAACAATGCATCAGAAATGAAAATGCCCCCCAAAGTTATTGTGCTTGTTGTTTAGACAACATGCAAATAAAACATATGTGACTGGTCCATCATAGAAAAAGCTGGAGCACTAATGGAGAGCTGACTGTCAAATAAGAGCCATCAGGAAAGCCATAGACTCAACCTTACCTTTAAATTAGTTAACTGTAAGCCTAACCGCCTGTTGCAATTTTGTAGTATGACAATTACGTTAGCTTCAGAACACAAGGATTTCTGCATTCCCTAGCTACAAGACATCTTTCCTTAAATTTGATATTTAATTTCTTTATCTTAGTGCTTGGTCTAATCAGCAATTCAATTTGAAAGAGCATCCCTAAAGAGAGCATGTCAGTTAAAAGTATACATAATAATAATAAGAAGAACGAAAAGCTTAACTTCTTCAGGAGTAAGGTATTTATTTGCATCTTAGGAACAATCTTAATAAACAGTTCAAATGACAAATGAAATGGGTCGCAAAGAAACACGTTACTTACAGACTTTAAATTGTGATTCAATGGCCCAGCAAAACATGAAAATGCGCCCAGTGCTATTGAAAAGGAACAGTCTGGATTCAGCTGATTTTATGAGACAGCCACACCACCGCAGGACCAAATCTCAGCAAGTTCGATTCAAGGATGATGGTGTGAACACAAAGACAGAACTGGATACTAATCCTGCCCAAGATATAGCATTCATAACTGGAAAACCAGAAATATTTAGGGATCACAATTCTTTGCTACATCAATCTCCATCTTTTCCAAGGGCTCAGAAGGGGCTTCGGAATATTGCCATACAAACATCTCCTAGCCTCAGGAAACACTTCCCCGTTTTTAAAAAGAAAAAGCTGACAGTAAGTAAATCATTAACAGAAATGCCAACTAAGCCTGCAAATTCTACCCAAGTAAATGGCAATCTTTCTGAACAAGACATTATGTCTTCAGATCTCTGTTACTTAAGAATAACTAATCATTTGGAAGATGGATTTAGGAATAGTGAGGTGGATGGTCAGTTAAATCAAAGACCATCAAAAGCACAAAGCAATGGACCCATCCACTCAGATGATTTCTCAGTATCAGAGAAGACAACTGTTTCTACACAGATGCCTGAATACATGCATGTGAGTTTTCCACAAGACAGCAATATTTCCATGGATGCACCAGACACAACCATGAATCTAAGTAATTCACTGCATTCTTCTGTCATAAATAGCAATGAAAATAATGAAAACAGCACACTGTCATCTAATTCTGAAAAAGCATATCCTTGCCTAAGCAATTCTACTAACTGCAGTGAATGTAATCCTCATTCTGAATCTTGTGAAGCAGATAAAAGTGATTCTGAGTCGCTTGTAGCCAGCAAAGATGCAAGCAGTAAGGAAACTACTCCATTATCACCTCCATCAAATCACAGTTCATCTCCTTGTTTCCTCAGAGACTATCAACAGGCAGGAGAGTACAAAACAGATTCCAGCTGTATGACACTAACAAATGACGATCACACAATAATGTCATTGACCAGCAGTAACACGTCAAAATCTATTCTGTCATGTAATACTGAAAATGAGAAAAATTCTACCCAGTCAGATGTTTCCCAGTGTAACAGCTGTTTAGAAGGATTTCACATAAAGTCTTATCTGCCAAGGAATGAAATAAAACCACAAACCAACAAAGAGATTAGCGAAATAAATCAAATTCATTTGGCACATGGCGAAATCTGTGCCCTACAAGGCAGGCTGCAGTCTGTAGAGGAATCCTTGCAGTTGAACCAGGAGAAGATTAAAGTCCTTTTGAATGTAATCCAAGACCTGGAAAAATCCAGAGCCCTCAGTGAAGGGTATGGTGCATTTTAATACTAGTAATTCATCAGAAGTGTAAAGTAGATGTTAGCGTTCTTTTAACCTTTGCTACCGAAAAAAATCTTTTTTTGCAGTATTTAAAGATGAGTTTGCAAAAACAGTATTTTATGCCCTTTTTCTGGTTGGGCCTGGGCACAGAAGCAAGTCTCTTTATAGTTTGGCTTTAGCTGACACTGCCTTTACTAAACCCAGTGTGAGACAGTTTATTAACTCCCTTTTTTATTTAGATTTATGGTGTCAGATACAAAGCCACTGACACCTAGGACTTGGCAGCCTCCATCTAGCTAAAATCTGTATGCAGTAAAACAACAAAATCCAGCAGTATAATGTACTAATGTAGTATAATAGAAACCTATGGCAAGCCAACTCTCTTTACTAGCAAGGTCAGATATGCATTTAGTGACAAAGCAGTCCTAGTGCTGAAACAGTTTATATCAGCAAAAATGTGCTTCTGTTCAATAAATTATTACTGCCTTCATAAGCAAGCAAACGTATTAGTGGCTAAAGCACAGTATCTGCAGACATTTGTGGACCACGTTTCTAGTTACATTGCAGACCACAAACAACATAGCTGCTTACAGGGAACGCCTAAAGAACAGGAAAAGGCACAATGCCAGGTAAACTTCAAGAGCTTGAATATGTCAGGAAGATTTCACAAGAAGTGGAGGTAGGTGCTTAAGAGGGATTAAAACTGTGAACATACTGCCTGTGAAGATTGTTAGCAAGAACTCACTTCGGAATCTCAGGTTTTAGAATGGCTGCTTTCTGTACTATCATAAGAATGCATAACCTGTATTTATTTTTAGTATGCTCTCATAGCAGCTATTAGCCAAGGCTGCAAGCACTGTTTATGTAACTTATTTATGCAACTCATTTATGCATTATAAATAATACTATAATTGCAACTAATGTGTAAAGATTGGACACCTTTATAGGACAAGCTCAAAATAGAATTTTAAATATTTTTATGCTCAAAACAGGTTTTACAATATCCTAATAATGCTTTCCAAACCATTAACAGCAGCTCCTACTTATGGTAAATGCATCTGGGATACATTTTAGAATTCTGTTTTATGTAGTATATCCATCAAGTAATTTCTGTCTTTGAAAAACCCACAAATAAATCTTTCAAAGTATCAAGAGAATAAAGATTCCATTTTACTTTATTTTTTCAAGATAAAAAACATGAAGTCTATGTAATCATACATTTACTTTTATACTTAGCACAGCTAGCGTAGACACCTAGAATAATCATTTATGCGCAACTGGTTTGCACGTAAAACTGCATCCTTAATTTTAAAATCAGATCATGTGTATCAATAGTATTTACTGACTACAATTAAAGAATAAATCTGATAATCTTCCACATTTCCACAAACTCTGCAAACATCACAAAAAGAAGGCTGCATTGAGATTTTTGTGTAGGTTCAATTGCACAGGAATAGCACAGAACATGACACTGAATTGCTCATGTGACTCAGCACCAGGTCTTTGCACTTGTTCCCATGTGGACATAAAATGTTTGTGTGGCTGTGCAAAAAAACTGTCGGGATATAACTAACCGAAGCTACAGTTTCATACGCCCCAATTTTCTTACAACTTCTAAAGAAAAATAAATCTATTTTGAAGAATTCTTTCTTTCTCAAAGTATTTTATCTGGGAATTGAAATTACCTTCTTGCATTTCTGATAAATAATTCTCCAACTTACACTCCAAATACGGATTTACACTCATTTAAAAAATTAAAATAATATAAATCAAGTTAACATATAATTTTACTCTGTACAGATTACCTTTTTTATCTGGAAACATTAACTAGTGATGATCACCTGGCTGTTAGCATGAAAATACTCTGTTAGTTTCCACTGTTCCCACATAAGTTTTTATTCCATGTAACATTTTTCCCATATAATTCAGCTCCAACTATCCTCTCTCTGAGAGTTGTTCTTAGTCATTTTTCTCTAACCGAAAAGCCTGTATAATTTTCTAGCACCAACTTTGTAATAGCCTAGACACAACAGACAAAATCCATGTAGACATACTGATTACAAAAATGCAAAAACATTTATAAAACACCAAAACCCCAAATTTCAGGTTGGGGGTAGGAAAAATCCAAGTAGGTGTCAAGCTTAAGCAATCACTTGTCTATAGAATATTTCATATAACTACCACCTGACTATGGTTCTTTAGGAAGTTGCAGAAAAAAAGATACCCACTCCTTCTCCCCTGCATGTAGTTATGTATGACAGAGTGGACAAGTTTCAATTACATTTGCAAATCTGACCATTACAAAGCGTAACTTGCAGTGAAGCACAATCAGATTCTTCAGCAATATTTATAGTCCATTTCTGTTCAGTTACCATATGGTTAAAACCAAAAATTTTGCTCAATATCTTTAAGTTTCACGCTGAGATTCAATGATGAACTTCAATCCATCTTGGTAGAATCATCTAGCAGTAAAACTGAATATTGCAAGTACTTGTGGAGGTAGCACAACGCCACATGTGAAGAACCTCCACTTTAATTCCAAAAGCAATCACAAAATTATTTTGGTAGCAACTGAACTCCCCTAATTCAAGTAAAACTTGTTAAATATAAGTGTTATGCATCCTTCAGATGTAATGAGCCACTGACCTCAAACTGTTTCTAATGCAGATCTCTCCATCATAAAAATAATTCAGCTGAAGTTGGTGTTAAGTATGAAAGTCTCTTGTTTTCTCAACACTCTAAGTTTGTATACTATCAGCAGTAAAAATCTGACCTGTTTGTACTCAAGTGAGGAAACACGAAAAGGGAAAAGAATGGAAAGCATAAGGGTAGAGACCAGATCGATTCACCAAAAGCATAGATATTCAAATACTTTAAAGTGTGTTTAAAAGAAACAGTCACATGTCTAAGTGTTTTCATAACAAGTATTCATGCAACAATCAGAATCTTAACAGCATGAGGTGGGAAAGATGCAAGACAAAAAATGTAAATCAACATAGGGTTTGGGTTTTTTAAAGCAACCTTCTAATTTAGAATTTGATACTAGAATTTTTAGTAAGGATAATAGAAGTGGTGAACAGAATTACTTTTATTCATGAAAGATTCAGAGATCTGCTAACGTATCTATAAATACACATTACATGAACTACTGTCTGTTACAGGCGTAACTTCTATCACACTGGTCAAGACCTCAACAACTGCAGCACCTGCCAGAACACCGCATGTATCATTTACAGGTACTTCACTCCTTCACACAATTTTGTATTGTCTGTGTATCTCTCACAAATGTAGGATACAGTGTTTTGCTCACAGCTATAATAGTTTTCAATTACTGTTAATCCAGTTTTTAACAAAAGACCAAGTGGCACATGTGAAGTGGTTGGTTTGTTTTCCCAAAGAGAAAACAACTAGTATTGGTGTTATCTGAAAGAGGTACTGTACTTCCAAGAATTCAAATAGAAATTTCCCACTAATGTTTCACAGCATTATTATTACTAGCATGCTCTGAAAACCTTTGATGCCGTTTACTGATGATGAAATTCCCTTTGTGTGTTACATTTTTAAAGCTAGGATTTCTGTAATGAATTTAGATCTTGGGAAAGATAAACACTCAGTTCTCCAAATGCCAGTAAGCTATAGCCACAGTTCATGTTTATGTGCAAAACAAAACCAAAACTCGCACACTTCTCACTTCAGTAAATATTTATTCATTATTATTTTGAGAGAGTGCAATTTGAGTGTAAGTTACTCCAAATTTAAACTGCAGTTTATGTTAAACTCTTATGACCAAAAAACTCTGTAGTACTGTGTTCCGAAGCTGTACATGTTTCAAATGCTATGTCTATACAAACACACTATAAGAGTCTTCAGCTTGCCGGCCATTAACCAAAAAGCTAGCAGGTACAAAGTCCTGGTTATACCACACACGTAGCTTGTCCACTCAGCAAGGGATTTTATAGGGCTTCCATCAATTTATAAATACATTATCTAATCTCTGCAACCTCAGTTATGAGGCAGAAAACACACATATTCAATTATCTGATTCTATAAGATTCCCTGGGCTCTTCACAGAATATTAAGTAACACATTGCACAAATGCAGCATAATCAGAGCTGGAGCTCACACTTTGCCATTTTAGGTCCTTTCCAGTACTGCCATACACTGCAGACTTAAGAGAATGAAGATGAATGTATGGTCAAAATTTACATATGATATCTTAGGCCTCATTTTGAGAGGTAGAGAGTATGTATTCAAACAAAGTTAGTGGAGAAATTATAATACTGCAGTAATAATTATAATACTGCACTAATGTTATTCCTGTCTTTTTGCATTCCTTTTTTGTGAGGGATGCTTTACTTAAAGGACTTTGCAGCTGATGAGCTGATTACTTAAATCACAGGCACGTTTTCCTTGCTATACATATCACATTTCTGATTTGCTATACTGTTTTAAAGTTCATTTTTTTAAAAAAAAGCTTAGTGGAAAATGAACTTGCCAGTCACATATTGTGAAGATCAGGTATTTAAGTTAGACATTACACTGCAAAATTAAAGAGAAGGTGATTTGAAACGTCTCCTAGACATTTTTTATCCCTTCAAAGATATCCATATGTATTAGTATCCCAGAGATTTTAGATATTTAAATATGTTTACATTTACAAAAATAAAGGGTAAGAGAATTTCTCTTTTAGGTTGAAAACTTTTTCTTTATTTCTAAGAATATGGCAGACCATTAGCTTTGCCAGTTTGTAAGCACTATGGCTTTAAATTTTTTTATGGATATAATGAATAGACTAGATCCACATAGAAGTGTTTTTTACACCACATTTTCTACATGAGCCAAATTTATTAAAGAGCTTAATAAGCTTTTTAGGTGAAGTCAGGGTTGGACACAGCATTGGAAGCTATTCAACATACAACTCAGTCAAGTGCTGATGTCCTAAACCTCTGGTAATGAAGTCTCAAAGTAATTGACATGTCACAAGTTAAATGCCACAACTCCTCTGAGACTAAGTTCTTAGTCTTCTCCACAGTCCACTGCATACTCCAGAAAGTTACATGACTTATCCAAAAGCACAGATTGAATCTGTATAAAAAGGAACATCCAGGACAAAACAGATTTCCTTTACTTGGTCATTGTCTCTGACCAAACAATCTTTGTGCATTTTTGTTGGACCACACAGGAACAGAAGTCACCCTCTAGAATTTATGTACAAACTACCCTTTACCGCAGGACGCCTTCTCTCTTCAGAAGAATAAACTATGATGCTTACTCTGCGTTTTTAGTTTACACAGTTTCAATACAGGAAAGATACTGAGCAACAAGCACAAGTATCTGAAGGGAAGAACAGAGGAAGTAACAAAACATTTATGTGCCTTTTTCATTTACTAGGTAGTTTATAATGATAACGGTGCCTGGAGGCTTACAGCACAATGATTAGCAGAATACATACAAGAGAACACAGTTCCTCTGAAGAGTTTCTAATTTTAAGAGACAAAATAGGAGACAGCAAGTAAACATCATAGTTTTCACTTTACAGTGATGTTCCACAAGACGTGGTTGTGAAAAAAGCATTCTGAGTAACTAATGTTTGAACTTCATAACATACTAGACAACATTCTGAAAGAAGTAATTGTTATCAGTTTTTGTTCTAGACAAACCCACGCATTTCCTGTGTTTTATATAGACTAAAAATCCATGCAGGTATTTTTTCCACTAACACAGCATCACTGTTGTCATTAATTATAGAACCAAGTGTTCCATCTTGCTCCCCGTTTTCCTGCTCTTAAAGAACCTAACTCATCGGTGATTCAAACACTGTACAAGCAGAATGCTGGGTTACTGTCACTGAATCATCTTTATCATGCACATTTTAAGCAGTCCCTGAGTCAAACAATATACTAATCTCATATCAATCCAAGTATGGATTACACTGATTGGTAAAATAATAAAGAGCTTTTCAGTCTAACAGTGACCAGGTATATAGTGGCTGCAAGTTTAGCTTTATTAACTATCCAGCAGGGTTATGTGAAATGACTTGGGACTTTCAGTCTAGATCCTGCAAGACAAATGTTTGTGTTATAATAAGCAAATGCAAGTAGCAACCCAAAACAGTTATCTCAGCATATAAAGGACAGTATTAAATGAAGACTAAATTGACCTCTTGCCTCTAGAGATGATCTCTGCAACATTAAATTAGAAACTCTGAAGAAGGGAAGAAAAAAGGAACATGAGCAGATACTATCCTTACGTATGCTACAAACCAAACATTTCATTCTTTAGCGCTCGTGATCTGTGACTACTGAAAAGTATCAAGTTGCAGTTTTAGCAATAAGCTGATAAAATTGAAGACACACTGATCAAATTTGTCATTTATATAACTTTCTTTTACTTCTTTTATATTTATTATGTATTTCTCCCTGTCCAGGTATCCCTCTCCAGTTCTTCTAAATTAGAATAATCCTATTGCTTTCTTTTTGCCAGCTGAGTTATTTCATTAAAAACCCCAAAACATATTAATTATAAGGGAAACAAGCTTCTAGTTAATTTTAATGTATTATTCAACGATGTTTATGGATTTCTATGTACATACAAATACTCACAATTAATAGTGTTATAAAGATATGCATATTTACTAAACTTTACAGATTTCTTCTACTCAGTGCCCAAATCAGGTTCAGAGCCTTAATGTGACATCCCAACATCCCTCTGATGATGCCTTTTTCCTCCCAGAGAACTCGCATTATGGAAAATACAACCAGCTCCTTTCTGCTCTCCCCTTTGCCTGCTAAAACCTTCACAGCAGACATAGCTGATGCAATGCCCACTCTCCTGCCCCCAAAAGATGGTTGAAATAAAGAAAAACCACACAGCACTGCATCTTTCTCTCTTTTTTTTTTTCTTTGTTTGTTTTTGTTTAACTGTACTGGTTGCATCAGACTGCTTAAGCACTGTCCACATTGATTCTTTTGAACCTTACATTTATTTTGGTGCACATATCTGCTCTTATCTAATTAACATCGTGGCTCTTATTTGACATCAATAACAATTATGGGTTTCAGTAGAGAAAATTATTTACATTCTGCTTTCCTGTTAACTAATACCACTTATCTCAGACTTACATACTTGCTTAATTTCATATATTTATGGTCCTAGCAGGTCTCCTAGTGGGACACATTCATATTTAACAAAGTTAAGCATGTGAGAGTTTTGAATTCATGCTAAACATATGACTGAGTTAGATTACAGTGTCAAAATCTGGCCATTGAATAAAATGCTTTGAAAGGTCATCCTAGTACATTTTCATTTTTTTCTCCCTTAATTTTTGTCCCATTGTTGTGGGGACAGCAACCTATAAAGCCTTGTGTTTTAACCAGGCTCTAATATTGAATAATGTCAAATTATTCTAATGAGGTAAGCATCTTTTCCACATGTATTTTAAAGAGGGAATTTCCCACTTACTAGCTTAAATCTCTTCATTTTTCCATAGTGTAGAATATGACTTCAGACAACAAGAAGGAAGATTTCATCAGATTTTGAAAACATTGGATCATGCAGAGCAAAATCCAGCTTCAGCTTCACCTCAGAAGCTACCATCTGATCATCCAGCTCCCGAGAAAAAGGAATTAAGAAGAAAAACAAAAAAGATGAAAAGAAAATGCTTCTGGTGGATTTGACTACCTTATGGGTCCTTTTATATTTCAAAAGACACTAGAACAGAAAGAGGTTTGAGAGCACATACCTGAAAATGTGCTATTATGAAATCACAATGCTAAAAAATGTTTAATTAGAGTATCTGAAAAATCAAAATAATTTAATTAAATTTATTTAAATCATCTCACTGAATAAAATGAAGGTACTATTTTCAAAAAGAAATTGCTTCTTTCAAAAGGAAGCTTTTTCATTTTTTCCAAGGACACTTTCATACGCTTTGTAAAGATTTTTTTTTTTTCAACTTTCCAAAAATAACAAGGTTTAAATCTCTAAAAAACAATGGTAGACAAAGCTAAGGGTGTCACACATTATTCATTTCCTATTTATAAGCAACATGGACTAAAAGGAAAGAAATTCATTGATCTTGAAACAAACCACATAATGAAGAACAAATTCAGGGGAATCTACATCGTTCAAACAAATCTCTCCTCAAAGGAGACACAATTACAATTATTTTACATCCTCACTGAAATATTTTTGTTGCTGTCATCTAATATTTAACAACACAAAAATAATTTCAGGTTAAGTTTTACTCTATCCTTTTATTGGTTCAATTTAAAAAGCAACCATTTAGAGGTTTCAGGCACTTAATAGGCTTCTCTGAAAAGAATAACGGAATCATAAAACAAAAGAATATCTCAGTAATTCTAGTCTTAACCCCCTACTCAAGCAAGGTCCAATTAGGTGAATTTGAGTTTTGAGCACCTCCAAAGACAAGAATCCATAATCCCTTGGGGCAAGGTGTTCCAAATTTTTTTCCTGACATGTAATCTGAATTTCCTATGTTCTAACTTGTGTCCATTACATCTTGCCCTATCCATATACACCTTCGAGAAGAATTAGACAGATAATAAGACTGCTCTCCTAAGCCTTCACTTCTTAAAGACTGAACAAACCCAATTTTCACTGCCTCTCTTCACATCTTATGTGCTGCAGGCCACAGTCATCTTGGAGGCCTCCCTCCAGTAAGTTGATGTCTTTCATCTACCTGGAAGCCTGAAACTGGACATAATGCCTCAGATGTCATCATGCAATTGCTGAATAGAGGGGAATAATCACTTGCTAAACCACTTGCCCAATTTGTCCATTTCAGACCTGTATCACTATACCAAAATATCCCAAGATGTGGTTTTTTCACCTTAAGATACAAGTTGATAGATGATACAAAATTGATCATAAAAATAATATTTAATGAATTTATCCGTATTATATAAAAAATTATATATGCTGAAAAGATTTTGTCAGATGTCAATGCAGCTATTTCTTTCCTTCGGAAATAGTCGTTACCAGGTAGCCCGGGGTATGCCAGTGTAACCTAATTTAGGGTTGAGGATATCATTATTTTGCTCATGAAAACATGGTAACCTTCCATATTGGGGGCAGAGGGGAAAAGCTTTTCTGAAGCAAGTTTAAAGGGCACACTGGAAAGCCCAGATAATGTATTTTATGTTTAGTGGAATGTAATGCAGATCTTTTCTTAGAAGTGATTCTGGTTAATTAGTTCAAATGGTGCCAGGGTATTTAATAGATTAATCCCTGGATTCTATTTTTCTAAATCATATTGTATTAATTGTGCAATGTTAGTTAAAAATGTCTGTACACTTTTTGTACACTTCTGTGTTCCTTGAATTCTTAGGGTTAATTACACATCTGAAAACACATTAAAAACAATTTTACACAGAAGAATTTTGTCTGGAAGAACTAAGTTTTTTGATAAAACTAGTCTTCATTTAGAAGAGAGTATGCTATGTGACATGGCTTAATTTATCAAAATTCTAAAGCACTGGCAGTTTTAAAAAACATTTCCATGTTGAGTTCAGTCAGTACAGAGATGATAGGCACAAATTTATCATTATTTTAGAGGTTTTTCAGAAGAGAAGCCTTACATGAATTTTTACTAGCAAAAAAGTTGCCTTTAGTGAGACAGAAAAGCTCTTCAATAATAATTTGTGGCTATAACAGAGGTAAGAACTAAATTATTACATCAGAACATGTCATTATATTGCACTCAAATACATGTACTGCTTATGCTAGTATGCCAACAGCATTCCTATTTTGCATTAGTCTCTATAATTGATATAATCAAGGATTTATTAGTGAGTAAATGTTTCTTGTGTATTAAAATAACATTTTAAGATTAATATCCTCTGTGGTAAAGGTATAATAATAAGCAATACCAACAAGCATAACACTAGCAAAAGCAGTAAGTTTTTTTTCTGTAGTGAACTGTTTTTCAATAATTTGTTAGTATATGAAAGCAATCTTTCTGTCTTTCCTTTTGTTAATAAGCACAAAAAAGCTCATTTTAAGCTGTCTGATTTTGGTTTTGCATACGATACCTTCAATATATTTTCAAAGGATCCAGATTATTCAATTTAAACAAACCACGGTATTTTGGTTCACCACATAGCACCAATCAATTCCTGGGGTCAGTAAAACTATGCAAGAACAGAAATACTCTATTTAGTTTAAGGAATTCCAACCAAAGATAGTTGTAAGTAAGGCTCTAAGTCTTTCTTATGACCTAACAAACATCAATACTTCTAAAAAACTGAAATATACTGATTTAAATGGTTACAGATTTTATATTTTAATGTCTGATCTTGATGGAATGCAGAACTGTAGACAATTTTTAATCCTTCATCTCCCAGTCAAAATTAGCCTTTGTTTTCCATATTCCTCAGTCGGTTGTTTTTCCAGTAGTCTCTCAGTCAGTAAAGTATGGATTATCCATACATGGATATGAAATTCTCTTTCTAAGATATGCACACACAGCAGTAGGGAAACACTTAAGGCGTCTAGCCCAGCCGACTGTCAGCTCCCAATGCTGCAATTTAAGAACATTCACTTGTCTTTCAGCCTACCCTCTGTTCAGTGTTTTCAAATTCACCCCCTTCAAGACATCGGTAACTCCTCGGAAGAAAATACAAAATTACAGTGCTGCTAAAGCACTGTCCTTCAGAAAGGTTGATCCTAGAGTTCTCTACTTCAGGACTTCAGTACAACAAAGGAGATTTTTTTGAGTCAGCAGTAGTAGCAACAGCCAGGCAAGTTCTAAAATATATATTTAAGAGCCAAACAAAAGGGTTATCCGAAATACAGACAGAACTCCCTCATTCTTCTTGTAGAGGCTCTGACTACTATGAACAAAAAACGTGCAAGAATTTAACTGAAAACAAAGTAAAAGTATGCCAGAAGTAAATTACTCCTACAAAAGAATAACATCATTAGTTTCTCAATAAAACCACACCTAATAAATGCAAGAAGTTATTATACCTGGTCTTCTCCACAGTACATCGCACACAATAGGCTTTCTACATAAAATTTTAAAGACAACATTGGACCAAAAGGTTATTTGTTAACACTAAAAGGTAAAAGTGGGAAAGTGTCAGTCATGGTATGCCTCAGCTACAGCAAGAGGGTAAGACTGCTTAGTTGCTGTATGTTTTGTTTAGATTTAACATACAAATTTCTATATCCTAACAACACAAAATACCTAAAAATGAATAGCTTTGTAACACATAATTGGAGAATCCAAACTATGTGAAAATATAATATGTAAGCATTGCTTTATGTTTTATTATTTAATATTTTTTAAATATTTCCATAAATAATTATTAATTCATATAGGAAATAAAAAAATTACCAGATACACACTATGCAATTTCTGATGTCAAGACTGGAAAAGCAATAGAAGTTAGTAGATTGTTAGAAGGTACTGGCTATAAAAATTTCTCTGATTTAGAACATTATGGTGTAATGCCTAAAACCAGCTCCCAGAGTGGGAAATAAAAGTTAGAAATACATACAAACATGCTCCTAAATAAAATTTAAAAAAAAAAACCCACAAACCAACAACGAAAACCCCAAACCCACAGCTACTTGACAGCACTTGCAAACAAAATATTGTAGGCTTCTCTGAAAGACATATTTAAATGACAACTACAATATGCTATTTGTAAAACATTGCACAGAACATGTCATATTCCAAAAATGCTGTATTTGAAATTGCTGTTTTATGGAGTCAACCTAATTTTCTTTAAAAATTCAGAATGTATGAATGAAATACTGATTTTTCTCTGTCATGTAACAGCAGTTCATGTAGGGCTTTTTATAGTTTTGTGCACTATAGCTCTTTTGAAAAAGCCACAATACTTCGTAATTATGCTAGCTTAGATACAAAACATCTTCCTAGTGAAATGTATTATCTAATGTATGTTTTGTAAATTTCTAGGTTCTTTAAATGTGATGTTATCTTTTGCAATAAAATGAGATATTTTTATTAGGTTTCAGAAGTCAATAACAAGTAACATTTAGATTACAAAGGAAGTGAACAATTGTTCTTTGGAAAAGGAAAATTAATGGGAAATTAATAAATAGGTCTTTCAAGGAATCATTCTGCAGCTTTTCTAGGTAGAGAAAGGATTTCAATTTGAATTGGAATACTGAATAAAATGCTGTGACTTTTGGCTTGACCATGTCTATATTTGAATATATCACAAAATTGTAGAATGCTTTGGGTTGGAAGGGACCTTTAGAGGTCATCTAGCCCAACCCCCCTGCAGGGAGCAGGGACAGCTTTAACCAGATCAGGTTGCTCAGAGCCCCATCCAACCTGACCTTGAATGTTGCCAGGGATGGGGCCTCTACCACCTCTCTGGGCAACCTGTGCCAGTGTGGCAACCTTCACCACCCTCACTGTAAAAAATTTCTTCCTTATATCCTGTCTAAATCTATTCTTTAGTTTAAATCCATTATTCCTTGTCCTGTCACAACAGGCCCTGCTAAAAAGATTCTCCCCATCTTTCCTATAGGCCCCCTTTAAGTACTGGAAGGCCGCAATAAGGTCTCCCTGCAGCCTTCTCTTCTCCAGGCTGAACAACCCCAACTCTCTCAGCCTGTCCTCATAGGAGAGGTGCTCCAGCCCTCAGATCATTTTTGTGGCCCTCCTCTGGACCCTCTC